GCCCCTACCCCGACCCCCATTTCCATCCAGTGTCCCTCTGGAATGCCTCCGTTGAACCTGCCCCCCCCCCCCCCCCCCCCCGTTTCCAGGCCGTACATCCCCCCCTCTCCCTACCCACTGGGTGAGAGAGTCTCTCCTCACTTCACCCTCGCTTCTTTTGTACATCGCTTTAAATCTGTATCCTTCTCGATCCTGTTCCTTTTCCGAGCGGGAACAGCTTCTCCCTCCCTCCTCTGTCCAGCCCCCCGCCCGCGATTTGGAAAGCCTCTATCAGATCTCCCTCTCAGCCTCCTTCTGAAGGAGGGGAACAGTCCCAACTTCCCCAATCTATCCTCATCGCTGACGTTAACCATCCCTGGAACCGTTGTTGTGAATGTTGTAGCTCCCCAGAACTTGGTGAGTTTAATTCCTTCATGTGCACATTCGTCATCCTTTCAGAATTATCCTTCGTCCCCCACTCACCCCCATTCCCTGTAGAGAGCATCCACATCATTGCCGTCACCTCATGAAACAGGTTTTCCTCGCGTCTTTATTCTTATGCAGGATGTGGGCATCGCTGGCAAGGGCATTTATTTATTGCCCTTCCCTAGTTGCCCTTCAACTGAGTGACGGTACTTGGCCATTTCAGGGGGCAGTGAGGAGTTGCCTCTGTCGCTGTGGGTCTGGGATCACACGTAGGCCAGACCGGGCAAAGATTTCCTTCTCTGAAGGACACGAGTGAACCAGATGGGTTTTTACGACAACAACTGACCGTGCTTTAATGGGCCGCAGTCACAGAGTCTGCTTTCATGGTGCGGATTAATGAGTGGATTTTTTAAGATCCTCCAGCTGCTGTGGTGGGATTCGAACCCATGACCGCCCACCTCCCCCCCTCCAAACTCCCTGCATTTCTTGCTACAAACCCACATCTGAGCTGCCTTCCCTCTAATCAGCCAATGGGAAAGGCTGTTTGTTGTCTCCTTTACTGATACCCTCGATAATCCTGACGCCTCTATCGAACCAGCACCTCCCCTTGCTCTAAGGAGGTTAACCCTCTGCTGAATTGCCCCCTTCCCTGCAGCCCGTTAAAGGGCCTTCACTAAAGTTCAGAAGGAATAGGGGCAGAATTAGGCCATTTGGCCCATCGAGTCTGCTCCACCATTCGATCGTGGCTGATATGCTCCTAACCCCCAGCTCGCCCCCTTTTTCCTGCCTTCTCCCCATAACCCTCCGACCCATTACCAATTAAAAATCTGTCTAACTCCCTCCTTAAATTTACTCCCTGTCCCAGCATACACTTTGGGGTAGCGAATTCCACAGATTCACCACCCTATGGGAGAGGTGGTTTCTCCTCAACTCTGTTTTAAATTTGCCACCCCTTATCCTATGACTGTGACCTGTCATCCTAGAGTTCCCACAAGAGGAAGCATCTGCTCCACGTCTATACCTTCTTTCATCTTGAATTCCTCCAATTTGATCTCCCCTCATTCTTCTAAATTCCAGAGAGTATAGGCCTACACTGTTCAATATCTCTTCATACGACAAACCCCTCATCTCTGGGATCAATCTAGCGAACCTCATCTGAACTGCCTCCAATGCCACTACATCTTTCCTCAAACAAGGGGAGATACTCCAGGTGTGGTCTCACCGATGCCTCCCTAAAGTCCCATATTCCAGGTTATTTTCCTGTTGTCATTGAACTTCCAGATGTGACATCAAGCACAGGGATACACTGCGACCTTTTTGCACTGAGTCAACTCTGGAGACTTGTCATGACTGCGATATGTGGCTGCCCCTTCCCTGGCCTAGGCCCCAGTGCTCTGGAAATTACACCCTCCACATCTCAACCCCACCCTCTCCTCCTTTCGAACCTTCTCCAGATTCTATTCTTCCCCCAAGCATTTGCTCACCTGTCCTGTTTTCTAATATGATTCATTCATGGGATGTGGGTGTCAATGACTGCACCCAGCATTTATTGCCCTGTCCCTAGTTGCCCCCCCTTGAGAAGGTGAGGGTGAGCTGCCTTCTTGAACCGCTGCAGTCCACGTGCTGTGGGTTGACCCACAATGTCCCTTAGGGAGGGAATTCCAGGGATTCTGAC